TTCAGCAGCGTCGAGTTTCCTCAACGCCTGAATCTGGATGTGTTTGAGGAGATGCGCGGATGAGGAAACTGAACAAGAGTTCTTTTGCATGTCTCCACAAACACGTCCAGATTCAGGCTTTGAGGAAACTCACGCTGCTAACGGGACTTGGCCTAGGTCCACAATCTGATCCGCACGAAAAAAACAAACAAACCAAAAAAGGTAGGGACCGACTGATCCCATACAGACAGACAGAAGAACAGAGAAGAAAATGACAAATAGACAGGCGTCCTTCGGGACATCCGTTAAAATTGGAACGATACAGAGAAGATTAGCATGTCCCCTGCGCAAGGATGACACGCATAAATCGAGAAATGGTAATTTAAAAGAAAAAAAACAAACAAATAGACAGGCAGACAGACATACAAGAAAAAGGCAGAAAAACACAGGCAGACAGTCAGACAAGAAATAGGCAAAAGAACACACTACAGACGGACAGACAGACAAGAAAAAGACAAAAACAGACTGAGAGGTTTACTGGACAGGCAGACAGATAGACAGGGATGTCTCCTGTCTTTTTTTTTTTTTTTTTTTGCAACTCTCTAATTTCTCGATTAATGCGTGTCATCTGTTCCCAGGGGCCATGCTTAGGAGCTCGCCACACAGCCTTTCTATTGAAGGCATTTTCCAAAAAATGTCAGACTTCGTTCGAAAGGCTGCTCTTCGAAAGACCACCTCCCCCCTTGGCCACACAGACTTTTGAAAAACCGGCCGGCTTTCAATATGGACATTGTAATCTCCCCTTTTTTTTTCTTTTTTCTTTTTTTTGCTAATAGCCAGTTTTGGGAGTGCCCTTTTCTTTTTTTTGGCTAACAGCCCGTTTTGGGAGTGCGCTTTCCACAAGACCATTCGCGGGCTTTTGAAAACCCCGCCGTGACAGGCGGGAAGAGGCTGCCCATTCTTTAGGCCTTTCGAGACCCAACTCCATGACATGTTTCGAAACTTGGGTGAAAGCAGTTGTGTCAAAAGCCTGTGTGGCGAAGATGTGGTGTGGATTTTCCATGTTTCGAAAGGCTGTGTGGCGAGCCCCTTATGGCCTGGTTCGACACCACTACAAAACCCTTCCTTTTTTTTTTTTTTTTTTTTTTTTAAACCCTTCCTTTGTAAGGGCACCCTTAAGACAAAAAAGTGATTAATTTTCCCTTACACCATTTTTCGTTCCACAACCACTTACGAGAACCCTACACTTAGGCGCACTTACGTTTCACATGCCTCCGTTTGCATTCTAAGCGGCCGAAAGAGGATTCCGAATGTCCGACCCACAGTTGCGCCGGACAAAATCGTGTCCACCACCTGCAGAAAAGGGGGCATTACAAAAGGCCTGGACGAGGCTGGTGCCTCAGTTGGTTTTTGAGAAAGAAAGACAGGGGGAAATGGGGGGGGCAAAGACCCGCTGCTCGTAAAGACCGGATACTTGAGGGAGCCGGCTGACAACGTCCCCCAGTCCGTCTTTTTATCCACCAGTGAGGTGTATCCCTCGGCTGAATACCCGCGATGATAACATTGGACAACAAGACAGGAGCGTCCGACACACCCCAACGCCTGGGCTATGATGGCCTCTCTCCTCCCCTTACCCCTCCTAACCACCAGCCGTAGTCCGTCCACTGTCTCCATGTGCCGACAGACCACGACGACACTGGCGACCATTGTCTTCTCACGAGGTGACAGTCTTCTCATCGCTGCCTCATCCCTTCCGCTACTGTCCATAACTGAACTCCCGTGCGAAAACACGCCACACGGCAGTCAAGCAAAGCCACTGCCGCAACGGTAGAGTATTGGCGCATGCAACGTCCACAATGCGCATGCAAGGAGTCTAGAATGCAAGGTGTTCGAAGCAAACTGGTAGCACGGAATTTGAATTTGAATGGTGAGGGTCCGAGCGCGCGTTCTCCTCGCCAGCGGATGACATCACGCGCCCGTATCACGGCCCCGCCGGCTTCGCGATGCGGCCGGACCTGGTGTTCCACGGGCCCAAACCCAGCCGAGCTCAGGTCGAAAACATCTCCGACACACTTTTGTCCGAAGGAAATTTTATTTTGCTACCGATCTCTGAAAAGTCCGGACCCTGTTCTCATAACCCGGTGTCCCAACCGAAAAGTAAGGAAACTAGTTTTGTCGCTAAACCACTGGTCCTCCAAGCGGGGGTTAGTAGCCCCGGTTCCGAGTCACCTTCCCCTCATGCTTCCTCTCTTTCTTCCTCTCTCTTCCTCTCTCTCTCTAGAGTCTCTACCTTTCACCCGCATACACATGCAATGCCGCGCCTGATCTCAAATTCGTGTTCCCGGTAGAAGAAAACAGCGAGCTGTTGAACAAACGAAATGCAAGCAGTGTCGGAAAGCGCAAGATATGCGTGATCAGTGGATCCTGCAGCGACCTCTCTTTGTCACCGAATGGCCATCTTCGAACACCTGGCTCTGCGCCTACTGTTCTCGCACGGTCAGGAGAGTCCTCGTCCTCGACTCAGCTCATTACTTGTGTTTCCCCGCGCTTCTCTGTCTTCCTCTCCCTCTGCCCCTTTCTCTTTCTCTCACGCTCTCAGAGTTTGCTGACTGCAAGCACCCTACATAGCTCTCAGCCAGCAGCCTCTTGCCTAAAACGTACGCGCCCGGCCGCTGACAGGCTGGTGGCACACTCCGGAGGAAACGAGCAAGCTGCAGCACCTTGTAGGAACCGTATTAAGCCCGACTCGATTCCTAGCGAGCGGCAAAGCTAGCAAGAGGTGAAATTAGCTGACGTCCTCGCGATTCTTTCATACCATAGCCCCTCAGGGCTCTCACCGCAGAGGCACCAATCGAAGGGACCCGAGATAAAACACTCCCCTCCCTTTCTCCCTCTTTCTCCCTCTCTTTCTTCTCTTTTCTTCCCTCTCCCTCTTTCTCTCTCTCCCTTTCTCCCTCACTCTCTCTCTCTTTCTCTCGCGCTCCCAGAGTTTGCTGACTGCAGCTCTCAGCCAGCAGCCTCTCGCCTAAAACGTACGCGCCCTCCCGATGACTGGCTGGCGGCACACTCCGGAGGAACGCAGCAAGCTGCTCCACCTTGTAGGAAACTTCCTAAACCCGACTTATTCCTAGCGAGCGGCAAAGCTAGCAAGAGGTGAAATTAGCTGACCCTCGGGGCTCTCACCACAGAGGCACCAATCGAAGAGACCCGAGCTAAACACTCCCTGAGTCCCCTCCCTTTCTCCCTCTTTCTCCTTCTCTTTCCTCTCTTCCTCTCTCTCTATCTTTCTCTCCCCCCCCCCCCCTCTCTCTCTCTCTCTCTCTCTCTCTCTCTCTCTCTCTCTCTCTCTCACACACACACACACACACACACACACACAAACACGTATGCGTGGGAATGGGCCAGATCCCTTAGTGTCCTCCTTGTTCTCTTCTTCCCCTTGCTTTGGCTCTCTTCATCGCCCCCTCTCCCTCTCTCGGCGCCTTGGCCAAATCTGTGACGGTGACGGGCTACAAGTAGGAGTAGTGGCAGGTAGGTAGTGTGAGGAAAAATTGAGAGAAGAGTAGAGTTTAAAAGGAAAAAAAAAGGGCTAACTTTTGCATTCCAAACACCGATTTGGCACTTTAGTCAGGGGCCGAGTTTCAATTGCATAGGCAGTTCAGGGTCTCGCTCCACTACTGTCCACTGTACATGTGCAAAATCGCTTGGACAGTTTTCGGAAACCCCGTCGACAATCTACTTTCCGTGAATGCACAGCTCCCAGCCTGCAAAATTCGTTACGCGGAAAGTCCTTCACGGGACTCACCGTGAGGACCCGAATTTGGACAGTGCACCTAGAGTCCGGCCCCGGATATTCGGACAGGGCCCTGAGCGTATGCTGGGACATATAGGGTCCCCTGGGTCCCCTTCGTCCATTGGCTTGTTTGGCTTTTCTTTGCCTTTTGCTTTTCTTCGCTTTTTCTGGCCTTTCAGGTAGACCCTTTGTTTGTTTTTTCGGCAACATTCTTGTTTTTTCGGCAACATTCTAGCTGTAGCAAGTTAGACCGGGGGGCTGGGCGTTAATGGCCTACCCCTTGTCGTATGGGGGCTTTTTTGGTCGCTTCTTTTTTTTTTTTTTTTTTTTTTTTTTGGTCTCTTCTTTGGTAATAGGACGGACCGGTGTTTTTTACGCGGGGTACTATTGTTGGGAGGCCTGTTCTATATATAGGATTAATGCTATACCGAAACTCTTTCCGGGTCCGACGCTGGCGGACCTGCGCACATCCGAGATGTCGCAGGACATGCAGCGGAGGTGGGTTGGTGGTCAGTGGGTTTTAGTCTGAGGACGGAAGAAGGGTGGTTTCCCCCTGATGAGACCGCGTGGCGGCGGTCGAAACCGGTCGGGGTGCCATACCCGCCGGGTTACGAGTTTTCTGTATGAAGCATTTTTGTTCGGATTTTTCGGATTTGCGTCCTGAGAGTCTTGAACTCTGTGTGTGAGTGTGCTTGCATGCCATGCACGTGTGATCTTGCTGATATCACCATTGCCGGTAATCAACCTACCGAAGGCACATGTGAACCTACTCGGAAATGTTGGCTGAGTGTGTGTAAGCATGATCTTGTTACTACGATTGTTACTTCAATTGGTATTTTGATTGTGACTTCGACTTGTTACCTCAACGGTTATTTCTATCATTACTTTGATGATTGCTTCGGCTGTCGATTTGGAATATTGGAGTTGTTGGCGACGGGGACTAGTATACGCGGTTGTGCGTACTTTTTTTTCTCCCCTGTCTTTTGTCGTGGCGCTATCCGAGCGGAGACATGGGTAGCTCGGGTCGACGGGATTTCGGCAGGGAGGAGTATCGTGAACGGCAAAGCGACCGTAGTCGCGATAGTGGTTTTGATGGCCGGTGGGATCGAGGTCGGGAGCGTATGCATGAGCACACTTCTAATTATGGAAGCTCCAGTTACCAGGATAGGGGACGAGACCCCCCGACCAGGCGTTTTACTCCCGTGTGCTACGAATGTGGGGAGCCAGGGCACTACCGTAATCAATGCCGGAAGCTGGCGGGGGAAGGTAGTTGACGAGGCACAGCTCAGCACGGCCGATCGTTCTCACCTAGGAGGCAAGCGGGAGCGCACACGACGAGAGCGACCTCGGAGGATCCGGCATTACGACGGCAGATTGACGATCTGGTTACGTCGATTGCGACTATGAAGGAGCATATGGACAATGAGATCAAGAAGAAGGAGGAGAAGGCCAAACGCAAGCGGGAGAAGCTGGAGCAGAAACGGCGTGAAGAAGAGGCGAGGCTGGCTGAGGTCCAGGCACGAGAGGAGGCTGAGCGGCGTAAGAAACGCAAGGAGGATAAACTACGACTGGAGGCTGAAGCACGTGAACAGATGAAGAAGGAGATGCGTACGGAGGCGTCCAAGCATATGGGTGGTTTGAGAGAGGAACTCATGTATCTATGTGAACGTGGTGATCACCAGGAGGAGGAAGCCCGACGCGGTGCGAAAGGAAAGAAGAAGATTGAGGCGCCTGCGTCAGACGATGAGGCCTATAACTCCTACGAAAGTGAGGTGGGAAATTAAGCAACCGCACGGAACAACTCGTCATTTTCGAGAAGCGGAAGCGGGACGAGGATCGACCTGTAGGTGATAGCCCGCCTGTTGTAACTCCGACGAAGAAGACTGCTCAGCGGCGCCTGCACTTGAGTGTAAGGCATCCGCCGATGAAGCGTTCACCAACCCGGTTGACGCCACGGCGCTGTGGTACAAGCAGTAAGAAGATCCCAGCCCCACCGGAATCGTGTGGAAAACTTAAGTTAGTCACTGACAATCTTCGCAATCTAGGCAAACTGAATGTTGAAGAACTTAAGCGCTTGTGTGCTCAAGAGGACGTACAACTGGGTACTGAATGCAGGAAGATGCAAATCATCTTGGCGCTTGCAGATAAGCGCACCCAAGTGGCTTACATCAGGGAGGAACACGTGGACGATACCGAAGTGCGAGTGGAAGATGAGGAACAACAGGGTGTCGGGAGGGACGAAAGCAAGGACACGTGAAGTATTCAGGATCTTTGGACTCTTTGCTATTGCTTGATCGAGTTTCGCAGGAAATGTGTGACTGATGGGGAGGTAGAGAAACTATACCGTTTAGTCCTCATTATCCTAGCCTTGGGAGGGGAGATCAGATGGCTATGGAAATGTACGGAAGCTTGGGTAGCGCTCTATGTACGGCAGGGTATTCGGGTTTTTACGGAAGACCAAAGTTGTGTGTATATTCTTACATCGCCCTTCTGTAAAGCACAGTACATTGGACAGACTAATAGAGGGGCTCATATCCGTTGGTCTGAGCATGTTTCGGTTTACAAGCGGGGTTTACGGAAGAATCATGTGTATCGTTGGTGGCGTGTATTCGGTATTGAATCCTATGTGTTTATACCAGTGGATTGTTGCACGGCGACCGAGCTACTACTTCTGGAGCAAGCTTACATTAGTCAATGGTCGCCTATACTGAATACTGCAGGAAAGATCGGCAAACAGCATGCAAGGAACAACGGAAGAAAAGGACGCAAGGAGCGTAGCAGGCAACAGGATGGAGGATCTCGGCGTGAACCAGCGTCTTTCACTCCAGTTCGGGCTAAGATCGGTGATGGCGGTATATACAGTATGGAGATATACCATTTGCTCGCAGATATGGAGGAGGCTGGCACACAAATGTTTACCCTGCATACTGAAGGAGGCAATGTGTGGTGTAGGGGTTGGAAGTCTGTGCGCAGCTCGTTTGGGGATTCTATAGTGCGACGAGAGGGTGTATGTTGTAAATTGAGGGAGTGCAAATCTTGGATAGAACAAGGTGGTACATTAGAGTTTAGGCAGTTGAGGCGTTGGAAACCCAGGATTGGACCTCATAAGAAATTTTTATTGTCCATCCTGCGTAATCCATACCGAAGGGGGTTGCTGAAGCGATGCTCGCTCGAAGTACTGATCAGATTGAATAGGGTGGCAGCTGACTTTCAGAAGGCTAGTACCACCTCTTTCTTGCGGCGGTTAATTTCGCGCACTGTGAAGGACGTTTACAGCTGTAGTCTTAACGCGAAGATGATTGTTCGTATTAAATTCGACGACCGTATTAAGATGGTGGAATTTCGCAAGCTGTTAAACGACAGGATCGAGGAGTTGCAGATTCCGGTGTGCATGAAGAACGTTGCACGTAACAAGGTCCGGATCGTTTGGGTTAAGAACCCTTCGATCGCGGTGTTGTTGCACAATCAGCGCTCGTTCGCGAAAGCTGAAGTGCTTACATGTACCTGTACAGGGCTTCCCTACCCTTGGGTAGGAGATCACGTGCAGTTCATATTGCAGGAGCTGGAGGACGTTGATCCTCTGATCTTCAATGCGAATAATGTGCCAAGACATAACCATCCTAACCGCGGTGCGTTGCTGCGTCAGGAGTTGACCGATGGAATTCGATCCTGGGCTAACTTCCGTGGACAGACACCTCGGATTGGCGAGGGCGAGGTGGCACGCTGCATGATGGCGACGATCGACAGGAATTCGCGTTTTATTGACGTCAACATAGTGGAGGAGGTCAAGACGCATTTGAATGGCTTGGTGTTAACTCCGTTGGATAGGAATGCTGGTGAGACGCTTGTGCTCTGCCCGAAGGTGTACATTGATGCGATGATGGAGCTTTTTGTCAGTAGTCCTGGCTATGTTGTGATGAGTAATGAAGAAGCTGAAGTAAAGTTGTGTATGCGGGAAGAAGCAAAGAGGGAAGGACTGTTACCTTGTCAGATGGGAGAAGAAGGGGAAATTCGGTGAAGCCTATGTTATGCCAAAACACAAGGACCTGACAAGGGTTCGGCCAATTTGCCCCACTTACGGGGAAGCGACTGTCAGGACATGTAAAGTTGGAGCCAAGGCTCTCAATCATCTGTTGAATGCTCTCCCTATGTGGTGGCATTTCAATTTGAAGTCGGTGTCTGATCTGGTCCCAAGATTGGAGGCGATCAACAAGTCCCTCATCCCTTTGTCCAGTACCACTTTGGACCTGTCCCAGAAGTTGGATACTTTAGAAAGATCCGTCTCGAACTCATCAAAAGGCCGTCTGGTCGAAACTATGTCCCTAAAATACTCAAGGGCATAGTGACACATATCCACCGTGTCCGTGGTTACTGGAGCCGTCAGAGCAAAAGGATGGGATAACTCCCTTATCAGGGGTTTTGTCTGTCTGAGGATCAGAGACCGAAAGGTCAATTTAGTCATTCTATCATACCCTGTTATTCCTTTGAGCCTTAGTCTCTCAAGCCTTTCTGCCTATTTTTTAACTTCGATTTCCTCCAGGCGGGACAAGGCCTGTTTCCTTTTCTCCGTCCAATAATACTCTGTAAAAGGATCGGTGCCTATCTGAGCCTCGGCCTCCAAAACCAGGTTTTGTAACTTAGTCTCTTCCCATGTTTTTTGGACCTCTTTCATTCTTGAAAACTCTAACAGTGCTGCCTCAACTATATTAATCCCAACGTCTGCCCACATCCCTTCGTCCTCAAAAAGGTCCTTACCCTCCATCCAACGCTCCATCTGCATTGTTACCCACTGGGGGATACCCGTATCCTTTAGGTTGCTAACATTCAACCTAAAGGGGGGTCTTTCTTTGATAACCAAGTCCTTAGAAAGGACATCTATAAAAATTGGGTAATGGTCAGACAGACGGAAAACCTGAAAGTCCGAGGCAAAACACTTATCCCACAAAGTGCCCCTTGCCGCAATAAAATCTAATCTCCTCAGAGGGATTGGGGCCCTAGGGTTCGGTCTCGGGCCATGCCAGGTATAGCCGTTTTCTTCAGGATGGAAGCATCTATATGTATCGATTAAGCCCTGGGAATCAGAGAACATGGTCAGCAGCATTGAATCTGCTCTGAGCGGAGAACAGACCGGAGAATCCAAACCAAGGTTCAGAATTGTGTTTCAGTCTCCTAGCATAACTAAGTTATCTGTGTCTAGTGTGAGGGACGGTAACGATGCAAAAAATTCAGTCCTATCAATGAAGTCAGTGGGTGCATACACTGCCATTACTCCCCAGTCCTCATCATCTATTTCCAATTTAACCCAAACAAAGCGTCCGCCTTGATCAATATAGGAGCCCAAGATAATACAGTCCAAACTCTCATGAATGAGGATGGCTGAACCTCCTTTTGATCCATTTGCAGGGGCCCAGAATTGGCCCCTCCACCAATCCACTGCCCTTCGTACTTTACCAACATCCAATTTAGTCTCTTGGATGCCCAGAATCTGAACTGATTCTTTATGGGCCCAGGAGAGCAAGCTCTGTCTTTTATATCGATTAGACGTGTCACCTAATCCTTTAACGTTCCAGCTAGCAATTCGAACCTTATTGGGCAAGACCATTTAACTAGTCTGAGCCGCTCGTCATTTGGATGCGGTTCTCTTCGCAGGGTGGGTCGCTTTGATTAACTAGAGTGTCGGCAATAACCTTGTGAATTTCAGGAGGAAATCCGGACGTATTAATTAGTGACCGGAACTTTTGTCCGGATATCATTTGGATAGCATCCCTTCTGGTCAGCCAGTCATAGATGGTTATTGCGGACACTTCTGAAGATAGACGTATATTAGATAAAGCCTCCTCATTGGGGGTTATGAAATCCTGTAGTGGATACCACAATCCCAAATTAGAGCACCACACTTCTGCGTTCATAGAAACAGAAGAGATGCCCAAGAAAACAATATGCAGTAAGATTTTGCTACCACCCGACAGGGGAACAATATGTCGGCCCATTCTTGAAAAGGGTATGATTACACATTCTCCCAATCCGTTGAAGACTTGATTTTTCGTTACTTCCAAGACTTGTTCCTCAGAGGGGGGGGCACTGACTGCAATCATTGGAATATTCAGTTGGGCGTCGTGCGAACGCTGGGTGAACACCATTAAACCCTGCGGAGAGTCTGAGCATACCAGTGGAACTAGATACTCTCTTGTACCCTCCTCTCTCAGGTCAACTCGTTGCAGTGTGACCATCGGGGCTGCCGACAACAGGGTTTTCTGTGCTGAGCGGCCCGGCTGAGCTCTCTTTTTTCGAGAGAGTAGCTCCTCCGTTGGTTCAGCCTCTGCTGAAACGAACATATGTTCAATTTTCGTCGAAATACCCAGGCTGTTACCTAGCCGTGCCTTTTTGCAGGAAACATAATTGGCAGGGACTTTATCATAGGTGAAGTTCCCTTCCTGAAATAACTCCGGGATATCAAAATCTATATCCCCACTCAACAGGCCCCAACCCTTCTCTTCTGTCAGAGGTTGAACGACCTTTCCTCTTTTGATGAAAGGGCGTCCCACTCTCTGAAATCAACTCCCGGGCTTTTGGCTCAGGATGAGGGGATTGTGCCAGTCCTGTGTTCTCAACAGCCCTGTGGTCTTCCTTTACCCCCTGTTCCATTTTCTCTGATGTCGGGGGACCACGGAAGACGAAGGGGGGGGAGGAGGGGACCGCATCTTCCGTACCAGAGCCTCCCTTCTCTTTTTGGCTTGGAGACAATATCGCGATCTTGGGGCACGGGCAACCCTCCTCCTCCTGCTGGGAGAAAGGGTTCAGGGGGGGGGGGGGGGGATGGTCGATTCCTTCTAAGAACCCCTCTACCTCGATCTCTTCCTCCCTTACCCCTCCTGCGCCGTCTTCCTTACTGTCGCTCTCCTGCTTTTGCTGTTCTTCCTCCTTCACACCCTCTTCCTTCGATGTATCGTTAATTCCAGTCTTTTCCTCTTGTCCCTGCTTATCCTCGTCCACCCTCATCTCCCTTCCTTCTTCCTCTCCTTCATCCTCACCCATTTTTCCCTTCCCCTTTCCTACTTCTCGATCCCCTTTCACCACATCCTTGTACGTTGGGGGGGGGGGGGRKGGGGGGGGGGGGGGGGGTWTTTTCCAAACGTCCCTCTTTCCCCGCCTCTTTCTCCCCTCCGCCTTTTGTGCCTCCTTCCTTTCCGTCGTTCCCCTGCTTCTGATGTTCCACCTCCTTACAACCCTCATCCTTTGATAAACCGTTTTACCACTCTTTTCCATTTGACCCTTTTTTTCCTTATCCACCCCCATCTTCCTTCTTTCAACCTCCCCTTCTTCCTCACCCTTCTTTCCATTCCCCTCCTCTGCCCCTCGATCCCCTTTCACCACTTCCTTGTACGTTGGGGGACGCCTTTTCCCTTTCTCCACTTTACCTTTGGGCACTGACCTACCGTTCCCCGAAGAGGCCGACCCCTTTTTTTTCCTCTTGGTGATTTTCACCCTCTCCTCGCCCTCCTTCTTCCCTACCGCTTCCTTCTCTTCATCCTTATCCTTCTGCTCCTCATTCCTCTTCTGTTCCTCATGTTTTCCCCCCTTCTCCTTCCGTTTCTTGGTTGGGCAGTCGTCATCCATTTCTCTGTGAAAGTGGCGCCGACAATTCGGACACCATGGCGTCTCCGCACATATGACTTTCATCCTCACAAACCCATACTGTCCCAGATTGATTTCTAAATACTTCTTATATTTCAATTTAGCTGACGGATTGAGGTCAAATCGAACATCCCTCAGGTTCGGATCCAAAGGCTTTTTGTAAGCCGGATACTCATTCACTACCGGACCATAGACATCCTCGACAACCCCTTTTAATAAGCCAAGCACAGAAACAGGTACTTCCAAACAACGAATCCAGAAATATTTCTGTCTCATTGCCTCTTTCCATTTTCGAAGTTGTTGAATATCCATCCCTCTTTCCATTTTCGAAGTTGTTGAATATCCATCCATGGTTTAAAAGATAAAACATGCTCCTTCCCATCCAATAAAACTTTTTCCTCCCCCTTTCTCAACATCCAATCGGCAATCTCTTTGGCTGAAGACACGTACGTGGCCAAATTCTTCCCTTCGTTGCAGAATATTCCTCTGATGGGAACTACCGCCGGCACCCCTATCGTTGCACAAGCATTTTCATATGACCGAACTAGTCTGCTTTTCACCTCAACCGGGGAGGAGGAAGATTCATCATTGAAAAAAATCGAAACAGCATGGTCCTTGGGCCAGTCCGAATGGACCTTAAAAATACCCTCGTCCACTGTAACTCTGGCAACATCTTCCCCTGTTTCGACCTCGCCCGGTGAGACCCGACTAGGGAGAACACCTTCTTGTACGCATTTCAACAATAATTCCCGAATACGGAGTTTGCCTTCCTCCGTCGACGGATTCAGTATATGCGTTTGACCTACGGAGGAAGGGATGGGAACCGCCATTGTTGGGAAAAGGAGACTCTTACTAAGGAGAAAAAAAATTCCTATTAAACTCACAATTCTAACCGAGTTTGTCTGAGTCCACGCATAAATTAAATCAAAATGCATGATGGTCAAACGTAACCGATATACCTTACACATGGTAATCTTGAATCTCAACCATCGAAGCCCCTCTTGAGTGTGTCTTACTTCTCGAACCACTCACCTTCTTCGGTAGCTATATTGTACTCAGCCCGTTACAAGTAGCACAACTTCTTCCACCAAACCACCATCGTTCACCATCGGAGTTTGACCGTTCCTTCGTGATCTCCACCTTTCCTATCCTAAACAGACCCTCGTAACCACACTCCTTCGTCCACTGACGCCCGTTATGACCGAGCTATGATGAGCAGAACCGTTTACTCCAACAGTTATCAAGAGATCTCCATATCCTGATACTAGCAACAACATCGCAAACACGGCACTCTAGGCACGTCTAGAAGCTCCAAACATGCCACCAGCGAGATTAGCGCAGGGTTCACGCACAACGACGAACCCTCACACCTCATCTTTCTGCTCTGTTCTCTTTCTTCTTCTCTGCTTGTCTGTTTGTCTGACTGTCTTCTCTTCTCTCGCTCTCGTTCCCCGCTCGCTGGTGTTTATTGGCGCGGTGTGTTATGAAAAGTTGTAAATTCCGAGAGTATCCGCATGTCAAGTTGAGCGCGATATAGTGATAAAGCTGCTGCTGGCGTTGAGAGGAAGGAGTGTCGATTACCCTTTTTTTTTTTTAAGGTTCAGCAAAAAACCCTCTTCAATGTGAAACGGCAAAAAAATTACAGCTGGTGTATAGTTCCTGGTCTCACCACTTGCTTTTCCCTTCTTTTTGAAGTTTCAGCACGCACCAATGTGAAACGACAAAAATTATAGTTGGTGTAGATCTTTACCTTGAGGCGAGGTAACATCCCTCAGTGCGAAGACGCCGAGAAGGGGGCCTGGGCTAATCCGAGCGCTAATCTCCACGGCCCTAAGCGCCGCCTCGGCGGCGCTTAGAGCCAATTAGGGATTAGGGTTATGGATTAGGGTTAGGATTGGCATCACTCGGACTGAGCGACTCCCGATGGTTTTGTAATGCTAACGACCTTCGTCGGAGGAAGCATGGTTGAGCTATGGAGAGTGGGTGATGGTCGGTGCCTTCAGGAGGAAGGGGGCTTTGGTGAGGTTGAAGAGGACGAGTTATTGTATGCAGATGGAGAGTGGGGCGGGATGCAGAAGGCTTAAAGGCTTCCTCTGGACGAAAGTGACGGTAGTGAGAGGGTTGCCATATAGTTGGAGGAATATGTGGAGAAGCTGAGCTACACGCGTACAGTGAGACTAGATGTATTCCTGGGAACTACCAGGACTTGGGTTTTTCAGGCGATCGGCTCCTACAGCAGGGAAAGTCTCCCGATGGAAACACAGTGAAGAAAGTTTGACCTTCGGAACTCATGAAGGTCATTATGACAGAAGGTCGGCATCGGGAGTATGAAGAAGACTGATGACGGAAGGTGGAAAGGGGACTAATCAAGGTACTCTGTTCTCTAGTGGTTTCACCTCCTCAAAGAATTATATATGTTATTTATCCCAGTATTATTCTTGCCTCAGAGAGATCTAATATTTTTAACTCTTAGGTTTTTTCTTAGTTTAATTTAAGGTTACTCTCGTAAATACCGGTCAAAGCTAGGGCGATAGGGATTCGGGGAAACGTTGGGATGGTCCGTATGAATGGATCCTCCTCTTCCACTCCCTCCAACGCCTGTCTCTTATACACATCTAGATGTGTATAAGAGACAGGATCAGGGGAATCCTCAGCTCCTGTTACACTGACGGTATCCTCCCGAAACAATTGACCGTCAGCACGATGGAAGTAGGGGAGGACTTTGTCAGGGTAAAAGTCAACCCCGAGGTACATCGCGTACAGGTCGATTGGTTGAAGGAACATGCGGTAACGATTTTGTTTGGGGATGAAATACCTCGCTGCCCGTAAATGTTAAAAAACGTTTGGTTCGTACTTATGAAAACGGATTGGCAAAAAGCAGGACCATCGATACCCCCCCCATTCGAGGCCTCTTCCACAATGAATGCCGCAACCTGGTCACATATGTAGCATCATCAAGCCAGATAGCAACATTCATGAGGAGGAAAGGACAGGACATGATTGCGCTGGATGAGAAAACATACAAACTGTCCTTTCACGATTGGATGGATGACAACCAATTGTATGAATGGCGGGAGGCCATGAGATATCGTCTTTTTTGGATTCGTTGCCTACAAGTCCCAATCTCGGCGCTTCCCCAGCTGGAAGCTGTGGTGGAAAGCGCCTTTGACTTAGTTTTGAATTCGTTCTCTCCATTCAAAGACAAAGAGGATCCAGAATTAATGAATGTATGTTTCGATCTGGTCCCGTCGGCAAGATTGAAGTATAAACCATGTTTCGTGATTGACCAGGGAGACAAGGGCTTTGTCGAGCTGGAAGTGATTTGTGCTGACACACCTTGGTGTGAAAAGTGTCGAAGATACTTTCACTCCTCAAGCTCTCTTGATTGTCCGTTCATGATTCAAAAGAACAAATCCAAATCCAACGGACGAAAAGGTTCCAAGGGGCCGGAGGAAGGGTTATCGAAAGAATCTAGAAAAAAAGGATCAGAAGATAACCCATCCCATGACGAAAGAGAAAAGGGCCCAATTAGGGAGAGAAAAGGGAGAGATAAAAACAGGAAAGAGAACGGCACAGCAGTGGATAAAACAAGAAACAAGGAATTGGTGGTTTGGAAGAAAGTCCACAAACCCAAACCTACACCGCAACCCTCCCCTCCCCCATCCGAGGAGACACCGGACCACAAGGATACTGAAATGAAGGAAGCCTCTGAAAAGGAGGGTGAGAAGGAAGAAGCCGAGGCTAACGATAAAACTCAGAGCGAGGAAGTAGAGGAAGGTTCGGAGAAGTCAGCACATATGAAGGGAAACCTCTCGGATGGGTCAAATCCAAAGGGGTTCAATCTGTCTGACCTTGAGGATGTGGAGGGGGATGAGGAAGAAGAGGACGAATTGGATGAAGAGGAGGAGGAGGGAGAAGAGTCAGACGACGACAAAGAAGAAGAAGGTTGGGTAGAGGAAAAAGAACAGGGACAAGGGACGGAGGAGGATTCAGAGGGGAAGTTGGAGGAAGATCTGGCAACGGAAGTGGAAGAACGAGAGAAGGAAACAACAAGGGCAGACAAGGGTAGTGAAAACGGAGGGTTTTCCAGCCCTGCCGTTTTTAAAATTTACGATAACTCCTCCTTCGCTAAGGATGCCCTCCCGGCCCGGCACTTAATTGAGACTACCTCAGAGGATTCTCACCCTGTCCCCCCAGATAATGATGACGAAAACCATGAGCCTGCTACAGGGATTAAGTCTGAAACAGATACCAATCTTCGGGAGACTACCGTGAGGCGTATGTTAAATGAGGAAAGTGGGGAGGAAGAGACTCAACCTCTCCTCCCCCTTCCAAATCCTAATATTTTAGACTCCCTAAATAAAGAATGGGAATTCAAAAATGGCCATCATGAAAAGCAACCGTTTAAGGCCAAGAAGCCCAGAAGGAGCAGCAGGGACGGGGGAGTGCGGAAGAAGGGTATTAATTTGCAAACAACCTCCCCGGAATTCCACACGGACATGACAGGAGCTGGAAGAAAAAGAACTCTGTCATCCAAGTGTCAGAGGAAGGAACTGTCCCTAGCTGCCCCTATGTCCACCCTGGCTAAGGCAGATAAATCGTGGGGGCCAGTGAAACACTTTCTTATTCCACTGATCCTCTCAGATACCCCGCTGGGACCAATGGTCCTGACTAAAGTTACCAATGATGACGGGCTGGAAATTTCATCAGTGCCAATACCAACGCAACCGACGGAAGAGGAGGCTTTAGACTTGACTAAACGTCACGTCCTCAACCATAATGACACCGTAGAGATCCTTCCCTCTTTTAAAATCATGCGTTATCTGTCTCTAAAAGACCAGACTTCACCGGTGGTATTCCACCTGGCATTACTGGGAATAAAAACCATCATAGAGTCGTTCAAAAGGTGGAGCGAGTTGAGGGTCCATTGGTTCTCTATGGCCAACGTCCTTTCTCATAAGGAAGACACAATTGAGAAACTGCAAATGCCTGCCGGAAGACAGGGCACAGTCATTGTGGATTGGCTACGCCATGCAGACCTGCTGGACAGACTGTCGGGGGATGGCTTAATATTGATCTTACAATCATTCCGACACTCGGAGATAGTCAGGCTTGTGCAGGGTAACAAAGGGGAAAGTTCGAAATCCCCACTCCGGATCCAACACACCGGCTCTTCAGCGGAAGATGTCTCAACCTCCTAAACTACGCATAGCATCATGGAATGTGCGTGGGGTAGGAGATACTTCCAACAGATGTAAAAAGATGAGATTTCGACTGGAGATACATAAACTACATATCCAGATTGTTGGATTACAGGAAACGAAGTTGAATTCAGAGAAATTGTTAATCTACATAATTTTTGGGATGGACCTCAGATATGGTCCCCCTTGTAGCATACCTATGGAGGAGTCGCAATACTTATTAACAAAGATCTTAACATAACGGTTATTGACTCCTACGCCGACTCCAAAGGGAGACTTGCATGGATAAAATTTGCAATAGG